GGGTGTTGGGCCTGGAATGAGGAAGATTCACATCTTCTCGAGTTCAAATCCACTCTCAGATACTTACCAGCTGGGTGACCCTGGGCAAGTCACTTAACCTCAGTTAATCCACTGCAGAAGGAATGGCAAACCACTCTAGTGTTTTTGCCATGAAAATCCCATGGACGGTATTGGCAAGCTATGGTCCATGGGGTCACGAAGAGTTGCAGGGACTGACCAGTAGCCACAGATTTTGGGGTGTTGTTTTGCAGGTCTAACCACCAGGGGGAGCTTGTGAGTGATGGCAGTTGCTTGACAACCTCAAGACTGCTAATCTCTGCCTAAATAAAACTGAAACCTCTGTAGTCTGAGCCACCCAGTTTAGACTAAGAGCACCTGTAAGAAGGCCTTGCTCCCTGATCCCTGTTTGGCTCTTTTCTCAATCTTCCAGGCCCCTTTCTTGGCTCATGGTGCCCAGTGGGGAATCTCTATTAGTCATGGGTATTTTTGCAAGGCTTGCGTGAAGGCCACTCACTCTTTCTTTGGCCCTGCCCTTAGCCTTGGTTAGCTGGGTTGTTATAACTTGTTGTTATTAAGTCATTTTTCAGTCGTGTCTAACTCTTCATGACCTCATTTGGGGTTTTCTTGGCAAAGATACTACAGCGGTTCGCCATTTCCTTCTCCAGCTCATTTCACAGATGAGGAAACTGAAGCAGATAGGGCTAAATGACTTGCCCAGGGCCACCCAGCTAGTAAGTGTCTGAGGCCAGATTTGAACTCCAGAACATGAGTCCTCCTGATTCCAGGCTCCAAACTCTATCCTATGGCACCACTTGGCTGCCTGTCTCCCCAAAGTGAGTACCCAGGAAATCTTCCCTCTCCTGGATGTTGCTGCTAGTGAATTCAAAATCCCTGCTCCTTCTCATAGTGTTTGGAATGTATGAATGTTATTCATGAACTACACTCTCAGACTTTACGGATACAACTCTACTTCTGCCGCATACTATTGGTTTGTTTTTGTTTTTGTTTTTGGTGAGGCAATCAGGGTAAAGTGACTTGCCCAGGGTCACACAGCTAGTAAGTGTCAAGTGTCTAAGGCCGGATTTGAACTCAGGTCTTCCTGACTCAAAGGCTGGAGCTCTATCTAATGCCACATGCTTTTGCAAGAAGTTGGCACCAGCTGTTCCTGGGGGGAGGAAACTTGTTCACACAATACACAATGCTTTTTCCTCACATGCGCCCCTCCCCCATGCAGGTCTGCTCTGCTGCTTAATGATCTGTCTCCTCAAAGTAAGAGAGAAAGAAGGCAGATAGACAGACACAGAAAGGGACAGATAGTGACAAAAAACAGATATGGAGAGGAGAGAAACAGAGGGGAGAGGAGATAAAAAATGAGGCCGGGATGGAGAGGAAAGGAGAGGACAGCAGATTATTCTTCCTAAAAGAGTTTATCCCCTTAAGTGTTGTCAGCCAGGAATTCTCTGGGTCCTATGGAAGACTCACCAGAGCATGCCCACGGTCCTTGGGGACATCAGATGTCAACAAACAAAGGTCATCATTAGCTAAGGGAACCTGTGAAATTGGTCAGGGACTCCCCAGTCAACTCTGCTTGCATGTGTACCTGTGGTATCCCTCTGTGGAAAATAACCTCCCTGAGGGCAGGAACAGTTGTGCTTTTGTCTTCTTTTCCTCAGCGATTGTCACAGGGCTTGACACATAGTAGGAGCTACATCAGTGTTTGTTGGCTTGAACCAAGTGGCTGGTGGAGAGATCACTGCCTTTGACTTTAGGCTGGGAATCTCTGGTTCTCTCTGCCTCAGTCTCCTGATCTTTAGTAAAATGGGAATATTCAGCATTGAACAAGGACTGTCATCATCATTATTAATAGACAGAACCTGTTCTGTTCCTGGGGGATTTAGACAAAGGTCTGAGATTCAGTCGCCATCAGGGCTTTACTGCCTCGCTGGGAAGACGGGACAGATACATAATGACAATAATAATAACTGATGACCATGTAGCTGTGTGACCCTAGGTCATTGTGAGCCTCAGTTTCTTTACCTGTTGAATAGGGATAATAATCCTTGTACTACTTATCTCACAGGGCCAGAGGAGAACCAGGAAAAAGTGGTGGCGTGAAAACCCAGAGAGGAGGGAACATCCAGGAGAAAAGGGTTTGAATGAGTTCATCAGCCCTGTTTCTTCTAGGGACTCAGAACCAAGAACCCAAAGGAAGAGAACGCTGAGAAAATTGAGTGAATTTGGGAAAGTAGGCAGCGTGGCACAGTAGAAAGAGAAGTGACCCTGGAGTCATCACCAGGATGATGATAGTGGCCTTGAAATTGTATTTGGAGATTCGCAAAGCCCTTTATAAGTGTATACTATTTCATTTGGTACCCCTTCTGCTGATCACCTGGGCACCTTGGACAAGCCCCTTCCCTCTTGTGGGCCTCAGTTTCCCCATCTGTAAAATGGGGAGCCTCTGGGGGCCCCTCCATTTCACCATCTATGTTCCCTGGATATTGTAATTTAAGCTCCATGGGCCTCAGTTTCTTCCTCTCTAAAATGAGAAGGGTGGACCCCAAGGCCTCTGAGGGCCCTTCCAGTTCTGGGTCTCAAATACGAAGAAAGGTGGAGGGTACTGGCAGCTCAGCTCTAGTGACCTTTTTTTGTTCTGCTGTCTCTGTAACATTGGGGTAAATAGAGATCTATGTACACAGGATTTCAGAGACCATGAGTCCAGACCCCTCATTTAACAGTTAAGTGGCAGAGACAGTTTTTGAAATCAGGTTCTCTAATGCTGGCTCCAGCAAGAGTTCTACTGTACCACCCTGCCTGCCAAGTCATTTCATCTTTCTAAGCCTCAGTTTTCCTATCTGTGAAATGGGGTGGGGACATATTGGGCTTTAAGATTCCACTCACACACCACTTTCTGCATGAGGCCTTGCCTTCTCACCACTCCCTCCCCACCCCCAGAACTGCCTTATGTTTAGAGGTACACCTGTGATCTTTCCCAGGAGAATGCAAGCCCTTCCCCAGCTCCATCCTCTGATGACCATGTGGGGCGTGTGAGTGGTAGTGGTGGTGGTAGGGGTCCTCTGTGGCGCTGGCAAGATTCTTGCAGCAAGGACCGGGAGCCCTCACCAGGCTCACTACAGCCACTGTCGATAAAAAGTCTTGGACTCCGAGGCAGAAGCACTGGGGCCTGAGTCTTGGGCCTGGCTTTGCCACAAGGCGCTGGGCATCCTCACTGGTAAGATGAGGGGCTTGGCCACCGTGAGCTCTGCCCTGGAGGGCTCCTGCTGTGGAAGGCTTGGCCCCAGGAGGTGGGTCAGGCGAACGGGATTCCAACTGAGAGGCTGAGTAGGCCAGCTCCGGGAGAGTGGGGGAGCTGGTGATGCATCCCGGGGAAGGCAAAGGCTCGGGCGATGAGAAGGGTATCTCCAGGGATGGGACCGTGAGCGATCGCTGCAAGGATGGGAAGGGTGTGGTGCGTCCGCGTCTCACCTCAGGGTTCAGGGGTGGGTGGGGATCCAGCCTCCTAGGGTACAAGGTCCCTGGGGCCTCAAAAGCAGAGGGAGAGGGGGAGGGAGAGGGACAGGGGGAGGGGGAGGGGGGGGGGGGGGGGGGGGGGAGGGGGAGGGAGAGGGGGAGGGAGGAGGCGAGCTGGGCCCGGGGAGCCCTCGGGCTGGCCAACCTCCCGGCTGCGCTGCGGCAGGAGGAGCTGGGAGGGGGAGGGGAGGGTCCGGGAGAGGAAGGGGGAGGGGCAGCGAGCCACGCCTGCCTCTCGGCTGGGGTCTCCCCGGAGAATGGGGGCAGAGGCGTGGCCAGCCATCATCCCGGGAGAGGGAGGAGAGAGGGCGAGCGTGAGCTCTGCGGGGACAGAGAAAGACAGAGACAGAGGGAGAGGGAGAGGGAGAGGGAGAGGGGCGAGGGAGTCGGAGCCGGCCCAGCGGGAGAGCAGCCGCAGCCCTGGAGAGTGAGCGGGCGGGTGGGCAGAGCACCAGGTGATGGGGACGCGGATGGGGACGGAGATGGGAATGGAAGCGGGACAGCGTTGGGGGGGGCTCGGGGGGTGCTGGGGAGATGTGGAGGCAGCAGGGGCAAGCCTGGAGAGAGGCACGGCGAGCCCCAGGACTCCCCCGCCGCACCCCGCACCCCGCACCCGGGGGCTTCTCAGCTCTTGGGTCTCCTGGCTGTTGAGAGAGGGAGGGCGCCCACATTACGTCCCATCCTTGGACGTCCGCCCCGGTCAGCTCTGCTGTGCTGTGCGGCAGGGGCATGGCCGGGGCCATCGTTCTCCTGGAATCCTAGACCCGATTGGCACCCCAGCCCCGCTTTCCAGCTCTGGCCACCCCCGAGGCAACAGTGAATGGACCAGCCCCTCCCTTCCTTCTTCCCCGCTTCCCCTTCCCTTCCGGGGCTGACACCCTCCGCTGGAGAGACCAGAAGAGCCCCAGAGACAGAGCATCTGTTTCAGGACTCCAGTCCCTCCTTCCCTCCCCTTTAAACGGCCCCCTACTTCCCCTTCCAACAGCTGGCGGCCGCTTGGGAGCCCTGAGGGACCCGGGCAGGTGCGGGGCAGGGCGGGGTTGGAGACCTGAGGGTATTGTAGGGGACCCCCCCTCCCCCCGGCCCCCAGCGCCCATCTGGCCTTCCCTCCCCGGCTCCCTCTAGCTAATCATTAACCCTGTGGTCCCTGGTTACCAGGAGATGTCTCCTGGCCTCTCACAGTTCCCAAGGTAATGGTGGGGAGAACAGGTAAGCAGATGTTTCTCACCTGCTGGCTGTTGTCTGGGTCCCTCCAAGCCATTGGGATCAAGGAAACGCCCGAGTCTCACACAGTCGGGCAACTTCTAGGGTCTGGCTCCCAAGAAACTCCGGGGACAGCTTCCCCACTATAAACTCCACTGGAACTCTAGTCTCTCCCTATCTCTGGAGTACATCCCTCATCACTGCTTCTCCTCCCTCCTCCCTCCCCCCACAGCTGAGCCAGACCAGGCCAAGAGGCGGGGAGAGCCACCATGCCTGGCCTGTATTGCCCATCGACCTGGACTCCTCTGCCCCTCAAGGACTCCTGGGTCCGGGCCTGTGCCAATGGCCCTTGCTTGGGCCTCAATGCCCGCCTCACTTACCACAACCCAGCACCAGAGCCTGTGGAAGGTGAGACAAAGGTGTGGTGGCCAGAAGCCTCAGACAAGTGGGCTTGGGAAATACGATGGACTTGTGAGAGTCTGGGGAGCAGGGCAAATGGGTATGGGTCAGCCCTCCATTTGCAGTCTTCCAACCGCTACAGGGGTGTTTGTATATCCACTGGCTGAGGCAGAGGCCGAAGTAGTGTCTGGCTTCGAGGCAGAAGCAGCCGGAAGGCGGGTCTCCTTCCAGTTGCAAAGCCGCCACAGAAGCCCCAGCGAGCCCTGCTGCAGGGAGCTGCGTCCAGAGGCTGGCCTGCCCCGTCGTTGTGCCCAGGGTGAGGGGGAAAAGGGAGAGGGTCAGAGACAGGTGCATACACACAGATGCGAACAAATACAGCTGCACACACACAGAGCCAGAGACTCACAGATCAGATACACGTATAGAGAGAAACACACAGTGCCATAGATGGGCACAGAGACCACAAGATCGCAGTTCAGAGGCCCCAGAGAACACTGGGATGTAGTGGATGTGCCTACTTTCCTCATCGGTAAAATAACGTGGTTAGATTAATCACTTCTGAATCCTGTGCCCTGAGGCCTCCAGGAACACGGGCACCTAGCTGGGCACCTCCCAACAGATCTCTTGACACCCCTTCCCAACGGGTCCACGGTCAGCCCCTGTGGCTCTGCCCCTCCCTACCAGTCAGCTGGAGCGTGGTACTGAATTTCTTTTCTAAAGGAATAAGGCTGTGGGCCAGAGTAGGGACAGTGTGGTGTAGTTGGGGGATTTAGGGTCCAAGCCCAGCTCTGCCACTGTTCCTGTGAGGAAGATGGGGGAGAATGGTAAAGGAGCCCGACAGGAAACATGACTGAGGTGTCTGTTCAGGCAAGGTCAAGGGCCAGAGGTTCTGGGGCAGCTGTGGCCCACTGGGTCCAGCACCCTCTCTCTTCAGCTTCTCTCATCAGCTTCCCCAAGCATTCCCTTCCAAGCTCCACCACTTCCTTTAAGGGCTACCCATTACCAGCCCACAGTCCCTGGGCATCCCTCAGTTATCCCTGAGCCTGGCATTCCCCAGCCTCTACCCACCGCTGACCGAGCCCAGGTTCACCTTCCCCATCGGGACCACTCTTATCTCTGACCCCACCACCCCAGGTCATTTGGTTCTGGATCCAGCCCAGGCTCGTTCCACACTGGTGCTGCCCACAGGCCTCATAGCCCCCGAAGGGACCGTCACCGTGTCGCTGAGGAGCAGCCGAGAGCTTCCCACGAGGCCAGACGGGGCGATACGTGTGGCCTTGCCCTCCATCCTCACCCCCCTGGCCCAGTTCAGCCCAGCCAGATTCCCTGGCCTCTGTGACGACAGGTTGGGCCTATGGTGATTCTCCCTCCCTCCTTGCCTGGGCTTCTCTGGGGCTCCCCGGGGGGAGGAGCAGGCAGCTGAGAGAGGGCAGGCATCGCAGCCCATCGTAGTGGGCACAGCCAGAGGGAGCAGAGAAGCACAGGAGGGGGGCGGGAAGGCGATGCACTGTGGGTGAGGCTCTAGAGAAGCCGAGGGAAGGCCTGGTGACTCCTTGGGGCTGGGACAATGGAGGAGGGCGGGGAGGGAGTCACGCAGGGTTAAGAGTGATACGGCCCCTCCATCCCTTCCAGTCCCACCAGCTGCTTTGGGGTGGGCACTCCTGAGGATGAGGGGCCTGCCCTGCAAGACTCACCAGCCCCCAGGGATGTGTTCTGTGGCCCTGCCCGGTGCCCAGGTCCCTACACCTTTTCCTTTGAGATGCTGGTGACTGGACCATGCCTGCTGGCAGGTGAGTGCTTCTCACTGGGCATAGCTAGTCGGGAGCAGGGGGCTGCCTAGGCATCTGTTCCGCCTCCGTGATGTCCCAGGGGTCAGGCAGCCTGCCAGCCAGCCAGCTCTGCGCTGTGGAAAGGCACTAGACTGCAGGAAGAAGTAAGAAAAGCAGGAGAAAAGCCCTCGAAAAGGGAGTGAGTATTTATTAAGGACCTACTGGCACACAGTTGTGCCAGGCACTGGGGATACAAAACCCAAAATAAAAGTCCCTGCCCTCAAGGACCTTCCATTCTATCCGGAGAGACAAGCAGGTACAGAAGTATATTTGCTATGTATGTGTGTGCATACACACATAAATATAATTTGTAAAGTGCTTAGTATTTAATAAGCACCTACTATGTGGCAGGCATTGCACTAAGCACTTTACAAATATCTTCTCATTAGATACTGTTATCGTCTCCATTTTACAGTCGAGGAAACTGAAAAAGATGGGGATTAAGTGACTTGCCTAGGGTCTTACAGCTCGTAAGTGTCTGAGGATAGATTTGAACTCTGGGCTCCTTATATTCTGTCTGCTTCACTATCTAGCTGCCCAAGTTGGGAAGGATAAGGAAAGGGGTAGGATGAGGTATGTGAGCTGGGTCTTGAAGACAACAAGAAATTCTGACAGATGGAGGCGAGGAGGGAAAGCAGCAACATAGAAATGGCAGATGAGGCAGCCATTGTGTGAGGAAGGGGCCAGATTGTCTGCACCAGAGAGTCTGGAAAGGGAAGGAATATATAAGAAGACCAAAAGGTGGGCTGAGGCCAGGTTTCAAAGGGTTTGAAATGCCAGAGGAGTCTATTTCTACTTGACCCTTTAAGGTAACAGAGAGTTCGTGAGTGGGGAATGTCATGGTCAGAGCTGCAGATGAGTGGGTGGGTGGGCAGAAGGATGGACTGATGTATGAATGGATGCACATGCATGAAGGGATGAAAGTATGAATGGAGGGGCCATGAAAGTAGTTGACAAACGGACAGAACTGAACGTTTTAAGCGTTGCAAGATTCTTGGGAGGGGGGCGGGGTGGCCGGAGATGAGAGGCTGAGACCTGAGGCGGGCACTATTCCCTCACCCGCTGCTCTCTGTAGAATCCTTTCCCCATGCTAATAGCCACAATGAGGTTTTGCAGTAAGTTTGAGAAACTTGCCGGGCCCGCCTATTTCTCCGACCTGTGTCTCCTATATGATGCTGGGCAAGTCACTTAACCAGTGAAATGAGGGCTTCGGAGAAACATTTGGCTTCTGAAGTTCCTTCCAGTTCTCCATCTGTGAACCTAAGAACTCACCATCTGTTGTCCAAACATTTGCTGAATGTCAGCTCCTTGGGAGCAGGGCCTCGAATCACTTTTTATCTTTATAACCCCAACAGAGGCTCCGATAGAGGAGGTGCATGAGAAAATGGGGTTGAATCTGAATGCCTAATGAGTCAGGAGGATATGGGTTCAAATCCAGCTCTGGACACTTACTAGCCACCTTACCATTGAGCCTCAGTTTCCCCATTTGTCAAATGGGGCTAATAATAAAAATATTAGTATTGACTCCCTAGCACTGTTAGAAGAATCAAAGAAGATAATGTACATAAAGGGCTTTGAAAAAGTGTCGTTTGCTATTTCCCAACACCTCATCGTAGCTTCAGGATGGCCTAGGGTTCTCAAAGGCTCTGCCAGGTGAGCACAAAGTGGGGCAGGTCCCAGCCAGGGGAAGGGCTTTGTGTGTGTGTTTCTTGCTGGACTGTGTAGCTTTCTATCCAAGCCTCTGCCCCAGTATTGGTGGGACAGCTCATCACTGCAACCATTCAAAGGAAGATGAACTATTTTTAGTCCCAGCACCAAAGGGCTTCAGTTTGAATCAGTGGAGGGAGACACATAGGACTTCCAACAGTAATAAGATTGTAGATTCCAGAAGTAAATATTGAAAGCAAAGTAACACATGGTACCTGCCCTCAGTGAGTTTACAGTTTGGCAGCCTGAGTGGGTGATGTGAATATCCTTTATTCTGAACCTTCAGGTTCTTTGCATCCCTCACTGACTCACAGGGGGTTATCTGTTGTGCACTGAGGCAGCAGAAAGGGGGATGCTGTGATTCCCCCTCTCCAGCCTCCACCCCTCCCCTCCTTTTTCCCCTTCTGTCCCTCAGGCCTGGAGAGTCCCTCCCATGCCCTCCGAGCAGATGCCCCACCTCATGCCAGTTCTGCAGCCACTATCTGCATCACCCTGGCTGAAGGGCACCCTTGTGACCGGGCCCTGGAAATCCTGCTGCACCCCAGTGGTGAGGGCTGGGAGGGGAGGATAGCTGCCTACTGTACAACTTGCCCTCCTATGTGCAGAGCTGGGCTGGGAGAGAGTTCCTGGGCGGGGGAGGGGGGGGGCTCTTCTTTCAGTATGAAGCTGGGCAGGAGGAGACCAACAGCTCTCCTGATGTGGCACCTTCCTAAACTCCATCCCCACTAGAGCCTCACCAGCCGCACCTGATGCTGGAGGCAGGTGGTCTGAGTGCAGCAGAGTATGAGGCCCGAGTGAGAAGCCGCAGGGACTTCCAGCGTCTCCTCCGAAAAGACAGTGATGGGGACCGACAGGTATGGGGGTGGGGGTGGGCGGATCAGACACCCTGAGGGAGGAAAGTCGGGGAGATCAGGCATCCTGGGGAGGTGGGGGTGGGCGGATCAGACACCCTGGCTCCTTTCATTCTTCAGAGACTAGTAAGCTGGGTCTCCAAACCTAACACGTGAAACCTACTACTCCAAAAAATAATAATAATAATAATAATAATAATAATCATAAAGGGGAGAAAGATAATATGGAACATGTCATTACTGGCCAAATCCCTGGAAGGGTAGGGAAATAGATCACATTATATATACAGCGTGCAGATCCCGGGAGCACATTAGAAACATCATCTCATTTTTGTCTGCAACACAGTAAGGAAATCCCCACTTTACAGATGAGGAAACTGAGCTCAGAGAGGGGGGCAATGACTTGGCCCATGGTCCCACCCAGGTTTTTCCTGCCAATGACACAGAATCAGAGATGGATTGCCCCTAACTCCAGGGATCGTAAATTGAGGAATGGGAGGGATCACAGAGGTCCTCAGGTCAAACCTCATTTACAAAAGAGGAAACTGAGGACTTGCCTCGGGTCAGTCAGCTAATCAGTGTCTGAAGTGGGATTTGAACCCTGCTCCTTCTGGCCCCAAATTCACAGCTCCATCCATTGGTATTCCAGTACCAGAACTAGCTCTTTCCTTCCTTCTCACTCTCAGAAGGTCACAAAAAGCAGTCGTTCTGGAAGAGCTAAGTGGGGGTGCCGCTTGACAGGCTGAAACGAGACCCAGGAAAAGGACAAGAATATGCAAAGCCTTCTGGGAACTCCTAGAAGGTCCCTGGGCAGCTCCGTGGTAGCCCCATCCCTGAGGCGCCCTGGCCAGGCTTCCTTGGGTGTGACTCAGTGAGGCTGTCTGGTGTCTAGGTGTGGTTCCTGCAGCGTCGCTTTCACAAGGACATCCTCCTGAACCCAGTGCTGGTGCTGAGCTTCTGCCCAGACCTGAGCTCAGGGTCTCTGGACCTTGGCTCAGCTACGAGAGAGTTTCTCTTCCTAGTGGACAGCCAAGGAGTCCCTTACAAGGCCAGTGGGGCTGGGGGTGGGGATGGGGAGGGGGCATGACGGGCTGTGTCCTACCCGCCCACCCCAGCCAAGGCAGCGCGATGCCCCCTGCTCCCCAGACCACCACCACCACGTCGGGTGGCCTGCAGGGCCCTCACGTCCCCCAATCGCTCCCCAGGATGCCCTGCTCCTTGCAGTGAAGTCTCTCCCACCTCAGACGCTCCTCAACATCGCTACGTTTGGCTCCTCCGTGCATCCCATCTTCCCAGGCAGCCAACCCTGCAACGACGTGAGTCCCACCCTCCTGGTCAGAACTGGATTCACTGCCTGAATCCTCCACGCAGGGAATCCCGGGGGGGGCCTTTGGTCAGCTCTTCCCAGGGCTGAGTAATTGACGCTTGGAGACCTTGAGCAGCAAACCCTCCCCTGTCCTCTGTTTCCTCATCCTGTAAGATGAGGTTGGGTTACCTGGGTGGCCTGGGAGGTCCCTTCCAGCTCACCCCGATACCTTTGCAGTGACTGGCCAAACTCATACTTGGGATGGGATGTGAACCCAGGGCTTCAGCTCGCAGAGACACTGGCCCAGCCCTCCTCCCTTCTCTCTCCTAGCACACTGTGCAGCTGGCCTGTGAGGGCATCGAGGCGCTGCAGGCAGGATGGGAAAAGCCGGACGTGCTGGCGGGGCTTCGCTGGGCCCTGGAGCAGCCGGGGCAACGAGGCCATCCCCGACAGCTGTTCCTGCTCACTGCGGCAGCTCCTGCTGCTGCCACCACCCACCACACTCTTGAGTTTGTGAGACACCATGGGGGCATGGCCAGGTAAGTCTTGGACAGAGGGTTCCCGAGCAGCTGGCTGGGCTGGGGTCACTTGGGCCAGCCCTTCTCCTGTCCAACCTGCAGGTGCTTCTCCTTTGGGCTGTACCCTGCCTGCCGCCAGCTGCTCCGGGGCCTGTCTGCCCTCAGTCGGGGTCATGCTTACTTTCTGGACCCTGGAGAGAGGTTGCAGCCCACGGTGAGCTTGATGGGGGGGGAGCCCACCTTTCACTTGGGCACTCTACTTTCCTGCCTCAGCCACCGCTCTGTTCACCTTTACCCCTGTGAACCTAGCATTTGGTGGCTGGCTTTCCCCCAAGGGCCCTGGATGAGTGGAGGGCCATGATCCACCCTGGTTCAGCGATACATCTTCCTCCCTGGATCCCTGCAGCTAGTGAGGGCACTGCGGACTGCATTGGAGCCAGCTCTGAGTGACATTTCAGTGGACTGGTTTATGCCCGATACTGTAGAGGCAATGCTGACTCCCCGGGAGATCCCCACGCTCTACCCCGGAGACCGACTGATCGGCTACTGTTCCCTCTTCCGCATGGAAAGCTTCCGGCCTCGGCCACCTGTGGTAATCACAAGCCCTGGGGGCAGAGGAAAGAAGGGGGAACCGGACCATACTCTGCTAAACCAGGGGGCAGGTGCCAGGATCTGATTGAAGTGCCCATCTCAGGTAACCAGCATTTATTAAGCACCTACTCTATGCCCTCGAGGAGCTTACACTCTACCAAGGGAGCAAAAGAGCCATAAGTACTGGGCTGGGTGAAGGGTACGACACTGGCTAGCTGTCCCCCAGCATCCCCATCAGCCTCTTCTTGTGCCTCAATCTCAGTGGAAGCCTTCCCTTATCCCGATCAATGGATGAGCGTTCCTTGGTACTGTGCTAGGTTGAGCTACAAAGAAAGCAGCCTCTGCTGGTGAAAGTGCTTATAATCTAGTGTGTAAGTCCAAACATAAAAGGGACCCTTAGCTCCTGGATTGCCGGCCTTGACCTCCCTAACAAGGCATTCAAGGCTCACGATGTGGAAGCTGCAGATACTTGCTCCTTTCTCAGGGTCAAGGGCATGGATGGAGGAGCGCAGGTGGTTCCGTCTTCCCGTCTCCCGAGGAGCCATCGGCCACCAGCCACGGCACTGAGCCAACTGGGGCCACAGACCCCCTGGAGACCGGCACGGCATCTGCCTGGCACTCCAGCCACGATGGTCCTGGGGACTCAGAGAGGAGTGAGTGCGGGTGGGAAGGCCCACAGGGGATAGGGAAGGAGAAGCCGGGGGCCTACTCTTCCATACTCCCAGCAGGTGCTGATCCCCCTACAGATCCCATCACTGATCCTGGCCCAGACCCTCCCTCAGACGCAGCAATCTGGCGGCGGATCTTTCATTCTTCCTACATCCGTGAGCAGTATGTCCTAACACGATGTTCCACTAGCCCAGAGCCAGGCCCTGGCTCCCCGGGCAGCAGTGAGTCCCCAGGATCCTGGGGCCTTGGCTCCCCGGAGAACAGTGCCCCCCCAGTTCTCCCTTCTCAGCAGGGCCACCGAAGCCTGGCTTGGGGAGACACTGCTGCTGCCGCCACCACCAGTCACTCCTGCCCCCTGCCTCTGTCAGCCCCGTTCACGGTGAGGCGAGAGCCAGGGCAGGGTAGGACGGAGGCAGGGAAGGCGCCCCCTGGATTGGTGCCAAGCAGTCCCCTCGTCTTTTGCAGGCTCCACCCCTAGCCCCAGAGACGCCAGGCCGGCTTCCCAAAGCGGCTTTCACAGGGCGCAGCCTCTCCACCCCCCACGGTGGAAAGGACTCTGTTCTCCACCCCCGAAGGAACCAGTCCCTGGGTGGACAGTTAGATAAACCAAGCCCAGAGCAAAGGCAACAGCTTCGAAGAAGTCTGGATGACTCAGGTAAGAAATGGGATGTGTGGGGACTCACCCAAACCCCTGGAAAGGGGATCCAATAAGAGGAAGACTGACCAGGCTGGAATAGAGCCTGAGACAGAACACAAAGACCCCACCACGCTACTGGCGGGGCCTGGGGAAGTCTTTTCATCACCTTGCCAAGCCTCGGTTGGCTTGGGGATTTTAAACATCTCCCAGCTCTAAATGTCATGATCTCTCCTCTCCTTCCTTCATCCCCCATGTAGGAAACCTGCTCTCCCCAACACCCCTGGATTGGGACATGTTGGTGGAGCCCCCCTTCATGTTTGCCCCCTCACCATCTGCAGAAGAGGCCGCCCCCTCCCCCACAGCCCCCCCCCCTCCACCCCTGCCCCAACCCCCACGGTGCCACGTGGCAGTCCGAGCACTGCAGGACGGGCAGCCCGTGTGCTGGGAGGTGGGTGCTGGCTTGGAGCCATTCCTAGGGAGCGCGGACGACCCTCTGGCGGCACCTCCCGAGAGGGGAGACGCCTGGGACCAAACCCTGCACCGGCTGACGGCAGCCTCCGTGGTCCGGGACAATGAGCAGCTGGCCCTGCAGGGGGCAGAGCCGGGTGAGTACGGGAGGGCCGGCCGGGTTGTCGGGGAAGGCAGAGAGGCAGCCGGGGCCGGGCCTCCAGCCCCTCCGACCTCCTGGTTCTGTGCCCATAGCTCCCATCCGCCGCTTCCGGCTGCGGGCCCTCCAGACAAGCAAAGCCAGCGCGGCCGCCTCCCTGTTCACCTACCCCGTGGCCGTGGACGCCGTCACCGGCGAGACCCTCCCTGCGGTGCTCCAGATTCACCCATCGGGTAGGCCCTCCACAAGCTCGTTTTCACTGGGGCCGGACCAGCCTGGCCCATGCTACAGGGCTCTCGTGGCGTGTTGTGTCTCTACAGGGTCGGTGCTGCCAGCCCCAAGGCCTGCCTCCTCCACAGACTGTCCCGAGGCCCCCCGTCATCCTGAGGGTAATGCCCTGGCTGAGCGGGACAGCCACCGGGGGTCTCGGGGGCCTGGTGGTTTATCTGTTGGTCCATTACAGGGCTTGCGGACAATTCCTCGGCCAGCTCCAGGGACTCTGAGAACTCTGGTTCCAGGTATAAGCCAGGGTGAAGCCGGAGCTGGGGGCCCCCCCAACAGCAGGAGTGTAGGTGGGGACCACTGCCTTTCCTTCCCCCAGGCTCAGCTGGAGGCGGCTCGGTTCTGGCCTGAGACTCTATAACCCAGACCCTGACCGGGGCCTGGCTGGGGATGGCGAAAGGAGCAGCGGTGACCATGACTACCTCCCCTTGGTGAGGGCACGGTGGGGGATGGTGAGAATGTGGTGGGGCGGAGCAGAGCCGGGCCGCCCCGTCACCTGAGCCTGCCCTCCCCCCTCGCAGGTGCGGCTGCAGGAGGCTGCTGGCTCCTTCCGCCTGGACAGCCCCTTCTGTGTGGCAGTGCAGATCCCCCGTGAGAGGCTGTGCAGGGCCTCGCCCTTCCCGGCGCACCGGGCCACCCTCAGCCCGGCCTCTGCCTCCTCACCGTGGGCTCTCCTGGGCCCGGGCTCTGGGGACGGGGTGACGGCTTCGGGCAGTCAATCCCCCAGCACAGGCTCGGAGGGACCAGGCCAGGGGGACAGCGGGCACGGGTCTGACACGGAAGCCTCGGAGGGCGCCGAGGGCTCGGGGGGCCCTGACCTGCGGGGCCGGAGCTGGGCCACGGCCGTCGCCTTGGCCTGGCTGGAGCACCGCTGCACGGGCACCTTCGGGGAGTGGGAGCTGGTGGCGGCCAAGGCTGACGGCTGGCTGAGGGCCCAGCGCCTGCCCGATGGGCTGGACCTGGCCGCCCTCAAGGCCGCTGCCCGAGGCCTCTTCCTGCTCCTCCGCCACTGGGACCAGAACCTCCAACTACGCCTGCTCTGCTACAGCCCTGCCAACGTGTGAGGGCCGGGCCTGGGCCAGGGTCCTCCAAGCGTCAGCGGCCCTCTGAGGGGCTGCCTGCCCGGCCCGGCCCTGGCCTCTCTCGCCTCCCCCACCTCCTCCGCTCCAGAAAGTGCCTGCTCTCCTCCCCTGAGACAGAAGCCACCCCTTGGGGCCCGGGCCAAGGCCTGGGGGGCTGTTCACAGAGGGCGGCCAGAGGAGACAACAGGCCTCCACCCTCTATGGCAGCTACAATAAAGTGCCTCTGAGGACCACACGCGCACGTCTCCTCGATGGCTGGCCCGCTGCCCTTTGGAGGGTCTGGCCTCGGCCAGGGATTGGGTGTCCGAGGGGAGGCTGACAGAGTAGAAGGAAGGCGGCACGGGGCTGCGGCTCAGCCAGGTTTATTGGGAAGATGGCTTCACAGGGACCCCCAGGGTCTGAGGTAGGGGCCACGAGGCAGAGGTCACAGGAACCTTTGGTGGCAGGAGCTCACGGGGCCTTCTTGCTGGGCTGAAGGGGATGGGAGGCCTCGGGGAGGGCCCTGGAGCCCAGCCACAGCTGCAGTAAAATGACGGCGTGGCACAGGTGCAGGGCCACAGAGCTGCAGGGTGTGGAGGGGTAGGTGTTCCAGGAGAGCTCGATGAGGCCAAGCACCAGTAACCTGGGGAGGAAGAGAAGCAGAGGGAGGCAGGTGGCCTCCTGGGCCACCCCCACCAGCCCTGCCACGTTGGGTGGGGGCCTACCTGAGCAGGTGCGTGAGCCAGCGGGAGGGCGTCGCCCACAGGAGGTAGGGCAGCGTGTGGAAATACCAGACGTAGAACTGGTAGTGGAGCGAGCGGCTGAAGCAGATGCCGATGAAGTTGGAGGTGAAGAGCACCGAGACGATCTGTGCGGGCAGTCAAGGCCAAAGGCGCGAGGGATGCCACACCTGCCCCTTCCCCCATGGCCCACCCTGGCTGCCCACAGGGCAAAGGATATGATTAGCGGTGAGGGGCCGGGCAGGGGGTTTCCTCTTCGAGGGGTCCTTCAGGAGGGACAGGAGGCTTTCTCCTGACCTGGGGAGGGAAGATTGACTTGACCATCCCCCTCCTCTGTTATCCCCAATGGTGATCCCGCCCCCAAAGGGAAGCCTGGGGGCTCCAGCCCTGACACCCTGCACACCTGGGCCACCTGCAGAAGGCAAAGAGCGTGAGCAGACTCAGATGAGCGGCCAGCAGTGCCAGATGGAAGGCCCGATTCAGGAAGAGCGCCTCGGGCAGGAATCTCCAGTTCACCGTCCAGCGGAAGAGGAATTGCCGGCCCAGGTCAAAAGAACGGGACAGGTAGCCGGCCGGGTTCTCCAGGAGGAATGGCAAGCCCAGGACGACCTGGGGACAGACAGAGTGCTGATGTGGCCACCTGAGGGACAGCGGGGGATCACCCATCGTTAGGCACGGAGCGGGATGGGAGCTGGTCTAGAGGAGGCCAAGAGGCGGAAGGGAGGGAACAGAGGGAGGCGCTATTGTCATGGAGAGGAGAATGGGTGGTGTACCTGCAGGACGGCACAGATGCCCAACTTGGGAAGGGCCCCACGGAGGCCAAACTGAGAAAGAAGGAGAAAGAGTAGCCCTGGGGCGAACAGCAGCACGTTCATCTTCACCGACACGGCCAGGCTGGGCCCGTTTGAAGGAGAAGAGATCGAAGTCAGAGACAGGGCCCGAGGCCTCCCACGTGGACCGCTGGCTGAGGCCCCTTCCCCTACAAACTCGCATGGACGGTTACAGAGCCCACCACCCCGCACACACAGGGAAAGGGCTAGAAGGAAGCTTAATCCCCTACCCAACCCGCGGCCCATGGGAGACGATGGGAAAGAGATGGCAGGAAGGGCAGGGAGAAGGAGGGGAGGTGTCCAGCAAGCGTAACGCTGCCTCGGAGGTATGCTCTGCTGGCTCCAAGTGCCCCAAGCGGCTGAAGGAGGACGGGGAGGCTGGAGAGGGACTGGGAAGGCGGGCAGGGCTCGGCCAGCATAGAAAACTTGGACCTGAAACAGCCACACGCCCAGCCCCAGCGCTGGGACAGCAGGAGGTTAATACTGAGGAAGAGCAGCGCCATGGCCACTGGGTCATTGAACAGCCGCAGCACGAAGATGGAGTGGACCCGGTACGAGGCGCAGCACATGAAGAGGAAAACAAATGGAGGAACCTGGAGGGGGGACAGGAAGAGGGTCAGGACCCCAGAGTCCTGCCCAGCACGCATCAGCTGGGCGACCTCAGGGCAGGTGCCTGCCCTCTAGAACATAAGGGCCCCCCAGCACTGCCCCTTCTCAGAGGACTGCCGTCAGAAGCCAATGACACGTGCGCGTGAGCGTGTGAATGTGTGAGCGTGTGAGTGTGTGAGTGGGTAGACACATTGGGAAGACGGCACCAGCTCAGCCACTTTCCTGGCAAAGGAGGAACTCCCCAAGCCTCCCTTGAGAATCCTCAGCCATCTCAGATCGGGGAGGGGGTCTCACCCTCCTCGTCTGGCTGTAGATTCGGAAGACCAGCAGCAGCGTAGCAAGGTAGAGGCCCAGGAAGATGTGCTGGGCCAGGCGGATGTCGGTGCCACGGCTCGTGACATAGTACAGCCCCATGAAGATGTAGACGAAGCCTGCGGGGTAGCTGGGGAGAGGGGCCCGTCCAGTGAGTGTCGGCTGTGGCCGCCTGGCCCCTACCTCTCTCCGCCCCAGCCCCTGCCGGCCCCAGACTCACACGAGGGGCCCGGTGTCGCCTCTGAGCTGAGTGTAGTCGTAGGTGCCATTGATGACTCCTTCCACCTCAGACATGTAGGCTTTCCAGTCGATCTCTGTGTCTGGAGAACAGGGGAGGTGGGAAGCTCATGAAATCAGATCTGCAGGCGACAGGGGCTGGAGTTCGGCACAACCCCTTCCATTTTACAGGTAAGAAACTGAGGCAGGGGAAGGGACTCTGACTCCTGGTCTAAACTGCCCGAAGTACATAGTGATGGGAAAAAGGCAAATGTGTTTCAGAAACTAGTGTGCCACACTAGACCATTCTTCCTTTGGAAAGACCTAGAGCGAACCAGGAGAGTGCGTCCTGCCTGGAGGCAACCGAGACCTCTCCCCACCATCCTCCTGCTCTGTCAGAGCCTGACTGCATCTCCCTCCTGGGATCCCCAGCCCCCTATTTTCCTCCTGAGGAGCCTGAGAATTCCCCCCACCCCGGCGAGAGGGCCTGGGCTCTGCTACTTAGCTCCTCTTCGACCTCAAGCAAACCGCTTATCCTCCACAGCTTCAGTTTCCTCATCTGTCTTTCAATAAGATTCATTTGTCAGCCCTTTAGAGCTGACAAAACAAGCTACCCGCATGGAGGTTGTGAGACCATGACTGACCCCATTTTGAAGATGTGGGAAACTGAGGCTCAGAGAGATTAGGGGGTTTGTTTAGGGTTACACGGATAGTGTTAGAGCCAAAATTTGAACCTCGATCTCTCCTGGATCCCCTGGCTCTAAATTCCTAGAGAGCCTAAGAATCCTCCACCAGTCCTTGGCCCCGCCCCTCCCCCATCAATTTCAGGCCCCACCCCTTGAGCCCCTGCCCCCCAATCCTAGCCTTCAGCCCAGCTCCAGGCCCTGCCCCCATCGCCTCATGCTCCGCCCCAAGCCCATGCCCTCCTCAATCTTAGGCTTCAGCCCCGCCCCTCCATCCCAGGCCACGCCCCGCAAGCCCCTGCCCTCTCCAATCTTAGGCTTCAGCCTAGCTTCAGGCCCCGCCCCTCCGCCCAGGCCCCGCCCCCCGCCGCCCGTCACTCACAGGCCACCCTGCGTATGACCCAGTGGTTGATGCCCACCTCCGCCAGGCAGAGGCAGGCGGCCACGAGAGGCGTGTAGCGTGGCTCCAGCAGCAGCAGCCGCCGCTCCTGCCACGCCCGCTTCAGCGGCGCCGGCCCCAGGCCCAGGCCCCAGCGCGCGCCAGAGCCGGCCCCGGTCCCGGCCGGCCCCCGCTTCCGTAGCCCTGCCGCCATCTTCGCGGCGCGCCGCCTAAGCCGGTCCTCCCCTGCCGCCGGAAACCAGAGCCCACAGCTTCGAGGTTCCGGAGCGCCCTCGAGTGCGCCTGCGCCGCCGGCCGAGCCCCGCCCACTGAACCTTAGCCCAGCCCTGATGCCGGCTGGTCTCATTCCCTGCACTGCCTTTCACCAAGTTCCCTGGTCGTGGGTTCAAGGGCAGACTCTGCCTTCCCTGGGCTAGCTCTGTGACCTTGGGCGACCCTCCAGTCTCTCAGACCCCTGGGTTCCTCATTTGTTTAAAAAACAAACGGGGGGCAGCTAGGTGGCGCAGTGGATGGAGCACTGGCCCTGGATTCGGGAGGACCTGAGTTCAAATGCGACCTCAGACACCTAACACTAGCAGTGTGACCCTGGGCAAGTCACTTAACTCCATTGCCTAGCAAAAACAAGAATTAAAAAAACAACAAACAAACAAAGAAACCACAGACCAGTCCTTGGACAGAATGACGTGCAAAGACCCTTCTGTTCACTATTTAGTACATCCCTCCCATCCACCTGGACCAGTTCCAGCTGTCTGAAGGGCATCAGTTATCTATCTGGCAGCACCTGGCTACCTTGGTGTTTCTCTTAGGAGAAAGTAAACTACTGGAGGGCAGAGGCTGTCTTTTTCGTTTGGACACCTGAGATTACAGTCCATCTTTGAGCATCTTGGGTTTGCCTAGCTCCATTAGAATGCAAGTTCCTTGAGGACTGGGAAGGTTTTTGCTTTTACTTTGTATCCCTTCTGGAAGACGAAAATGACATCACTATGTTAGAGTCAAGTTATAATGCCTCTGACTGTGGCTGATCAGACCAATGCAGAATGCTCTACCACAGCTCAGGCACAAATATTCCATGTGAATATTTGGGGTAGATTCTCTAAATTTGTGAATCTTGCATTTCTTTTGAGCTACTTCAATTCTGCTTTGCTCATAGAGCACAGTACCCTCTCTGATGAGGGCACACCATGCTGGGTGGTCCTGTGCCAGTGTCTCCCATGTCACACAATCAATTCCAAAGTTCTTCAGAGAGACCTTGAGAGTGTCCTTGGATCAATTCTTCTGACCACCATGTGAGTGTCACACCCTGTGTGAGTCCTGCCACTGGACAGTGATGATTCTGGAAGTGAGAGTGAGGCCAACCTTTGTGTAACTGTCTCCATTAAACCTAATTTACCCACCAGTCAAAACACATCATCCATACCACTTTACCATTTTTACCTACCTCAAAGTCCTGTGATGATGGGTAAGTGACAAAGCAAAAGATATGGATACACTGGGAACTGTAGTCACAATCCTGAACACAGGTGGCCCAGGCCATAGGGTCATTCCCATAGGGAAGCAGCAATGGGATTCTGCAGTCTCCTGGGTGTCTTAGGAGCTTTTTTTAAGGATCGAACTGCTTTGTATCCCTAGTGTTTAGTGAAGGGCCTGGCATGAGACAGATAGATGGATAGATGTGATGGGGTGATGAGGCCTGGACCCTAAAAGGAAAAGACCATGTCTTTGAAAGCAGCCCCGATCACTGGCACCTCACCTCAGGCATATGGTCCACCGTAACTACTTAATTAGTTTACTTGATACTCCTTAAACCTCATCTAGTCCCTTTCATTGTCTGTACCTGGCCCAGGCTACTTACCACTCCTTAATCCCAACCAGATCTTCTTACAGTCTTTTTTGTATATAAGTACCAATCTCACTCCTATTAAGTCAAAGACTCACTAGGAGTCCCTGCCCACTCCTATTGGCATTATAATAAAGCTTGCTACTTTGATTGAAAGAAGGCTTGAGTGGTTGAATTCTTTCCAGGCAGACTCTCCCTGTAACCTTACATTTTGGGGTTCTCAGTACCCTAAACCGAAACATATTGATGGATATGGTGGATAGATAGATGAGATGGGTGGGTAATACAGACTGACTAGATAGATAATACAGATAGCTAGACTAGATAGGTGAGTAGAAAAATAGGTAGGTAGACAAAAGACAGATTAGATAAATAATGATAGATCTAAATCATTAGGTACATAGGTTAAGTCAGTAGGTAGATAACACAAAGAGATCATGTATTAAGCACTTACTAAGTGCCGGGCAAAAGTGCTTAATAGATGCTTTGCTGAATAAATGAACTTCAGTTTACATAGAAGAAAACTGAAGCGCAGAGAAAGGAACTTTACCAGGGTCATACAGCTAGTAAGTAGCAGAGGTAATGCTAGATCTTGTTTGTATACAGTCCCTGCATATTTCTCCTTCGATTAGAATGTGAGTTTCTGGAGGGCAAGGGCTGTTTCTGCTCATTTTTATAATAGAAAAAAATCTAAAGTCTAAAGCAGCGCTGGCTGACTAACTCTGGAGGCTGCGGTGGGCTGCAATGCCAACACCTGCATTTCCCTGGTTTTAAGTACGTGTCACTTTCTAGGGAAGGGCGGTGCTCGGCTGGAAGCGGTAACAGGCGACAAGGAAAGCGGTTTCCAAGCCGGCAGGTTGTGCTCGTAGCACCTTTTCCAGCACGGAAGTTCCACGTGTTTCTGATGAATAAGCGTCGGAGGTAGGCGGAAGCTGGAGGCGGCGACTCTAGGCCCCAAGCTCCAATAGACAGCCTTCGGCTGAGGCTCCGCCCCAATCAGAGGCCATCTCTGACTCCAATTGACTGAGGCTCGGCCTAGGCCCCGCCTCCTATCCACTCCAATTGGCCACTGCCCACTCCAAGTGCCCTGACCGCACCCCAGCCGTAGCATGGCTTCTTCGCCGCCGCTCCCCAAGAAGAACTCCGAGTACCAGGAGGCCCAGTACTGGGACGAGCGCTACCGGCACGCGCTGGACACCGCCCCCTACGAGTGGTTCGGCGACTTCGAGGCCTTCCGGGACCTCTTGGAGCCCGAGCTGCAGCGGGAGGACCGGATCCTAGTGCTGGGTAAGTCCCCGCGGGGCTCCCAGGCTGGCGGGCGGGGGCGGGGGGAGTGGGCGGTGACTATGTAAACTAGGGGGCGGGATTAATGGAACCACGTTCTCTGAAGGGGCGGGGCCAAGCAGAGTTGGGGCGGGGCTAAGGAAAATAACGGTGTGAGTTAAGTGAAAATGACTAGGGGGCTCGAAAGAGTGGAGGGCGGGGCTGAGAGAATTAAGATTGGCAAGTGGATCAGACGGGGCAGGGCTAAGTTAAATCTGGGGTGATGTGTGGGGATAAGGGGCTAAGGGAGGGCTAAATTAGATGGGGGTCGCTTGGAGGCTAAGGGGTGGAGTTGAAGAGGGTAGGGGGATAAGAAGGGAACAGGGATCAAGGGAGTAAGGGAGGTTTGAGGGGTTCAGCTAGGTAGCCAGTAGACCTGGAGTCAGGAAGACCTGAGTTCAAATTTGGCCTCAGACACTAACTCTGTGACCCTGGGCAAGTCATTTAACCCTGATGTCTCAGTTTCCTCATCTGTAAAAGAAGCTGGAGAAGGAAATGTGGAATCACTCTAGTATCTTTGCCAAGAAAACCCCAAATGGGGTTACAGAGAGTCAGATAGACTGAAAACAGCTGAACAACCACAAACAGGGGGACTGAGGGGTCAGGTAATAGGGGAAGTTTTGGGGGGTCAGGGAGGAAGAGGGGTTATAGGAGGTAGGTGAGGGAGGAGATTGAGGTCAGAGAGGAAGGGTGCTCGGGGGAGTCAGGGAAGTGAGAAGGACTAAGAAGTGGTCTGGAAGGAAGGGGCACAGTTCTATCTAAGGGGCTTGTTTGGGGTGGGGTGGGGGTGGGGAGGGAAGCTGAGGGTATTGGGCTGAACCTCCCCAAGTACTGGCAGTAAAAAAACAAACTTGTCATCTACCTCAGGTCAGGCCCTAGGGAGCTCCACTGGCAGAAGCAGACACCCGTTGGACCCTACCCCAAGCAGGGGAGGCCATCCCCACTGTCCCAGTCTCTTTAAGGGAAATGAGAGCCCTTCTGCCAGGCCTCAGCTGGAGAACTAGCTACATTCAGTTGTGGGCCTCCCAGTGTAGGAAGGATGTGGACGAGCTAGAGACTGTCCTGAAGAGCGGGACCAGCATGGTAAGGGCCAAAGTCTAGATCAGGCCAAAGGAAGATCTGTTGAAAGCAGGGGTGATGTTTAATCCGGAGGCCCAACCACTTGAAAGGAAAGTCAGAGGTCATCTGGTTCAAACTGTGTCTGAATAGCTATCCCCACTACAGGATTCTTGAAAAGAGGTCATCCAACTTTGACTGGAATACCCTCAGTGACAGGGAAATCACTACCTCATGAAACAGCCTATTTTTCACTTATGGAGGCAGTTTGGTGTAGTGACTTGGTCTTGGAGTAGAGAAGTTCTCTATCATGGACTGGGTATGAGTCTTACCTCAGATGCTTCCTGGCTGAGTGACCCTGGGCAAGTCACAACCTCACTGAGCCTCAGTTTCCTCATCTATGAAATAAGAAAGCTACGTAGTACAGTGGATAGTGTGCCATGCCTGGAGTCAGGAAAACTTTCCTAAATTTCAAATCCGGTCTCAGACACTTACTAGCTATGTGACCCTGGGCCAGTCACTTAACCCTATTTGCCTTAGTTTCCTCTTCTGTAAAAGGAACTGGAGAAGGAAATGGCAAACCACTTCACTATCTTTGTCAAGAAAACCCCAAATGAGGTCACGAAGAGTTGGACACGACTGAATAGCAACACAATGGGAATAGCGTTTAGGAGAGGTAGCATGATGCCATGGAATCTGAGTTCAGCTCTGACCTCTGATGATTAGGGCCTCTGTTTTCTTATCTGTAAAGTGGGGGGGTTGGGCTGGATTGCCCCGAGGTCCTTTCTGGTTCTGAATTTATGTTCCTTTGCACCTCCGTGGACAACAGCCTTTCCAGGCCTCTGTTTCCCTATCTGTTCTCACCCACCGTACTTTGTCATTTCTAAAAATTGCTAGACTTCTCTCCAGGCCCCCAGCGGTAGAAGTTCCGCTCCCTAGTGTGTGTGCCCCACAAGTGTTTTCCTTCACCCTGCCTTCTCGAGTGTAGCTTAGTGGATTGGGTGAACTGCATGCTGAAAGCTAGGCTTGGGAGGAGCAGCATAACTCCTCACCCCCTTTCAAGTGAGGCTAGTTTTTCCTGAAAAGATGTTTATAACACCTCCCTGATATACCAACTTAGTAACAGCATCAAGGACGGAAAGGAGACAGGGAGGGAAATTGGACTAGTCCTGCATGACCAGTACGTCCCTTTCATAATATCCCCAGATCATTCACACCCAGACTCTTGGACCTTTGAAAACTGGAACAAGTTTGTTCTTCTCCAGTCTGGGGCCCTGTCTCCTGTGCCATTTGAAGGCTCAGTGGCTCAGCCCACACCCCCCGGGTCATCAAGTACCCTCTTGTGTATTTTGTCTAGGCCTGCCTGATCACTGGAGCTCATGCTACTTCTTCGTCATAGCCTCGCGTATCTTAAGTTTGGATTGTTTATTAGCCATTCTCTTTGGTTTGGACCTTATAACAGGTTTCCTTCCTTATAACAGGTCAAGAAACTCTGTCTACCAATGCAGATCAGCAGTTCTTCTGCTATACAGGCCCACTAGCCAGAGCAGGAAGGAATGAAATGATTACTCAGAGGCACTTGGACTATATGAAGCAACTAGGTCTATAGAATTGCTGTCCTTGGCACAGAGAGGTGAAGTGATTTGCCCAGGGTCACCCAGCTAGTAAGCATCTGAGGTAGGTAGATAAGCTGGGAGACTCTGGACAAATTACTTCCCCTCTCTATGCGTGTTTCCTTATTTGCAAAATTGGGATAATAATAGCAGTTACTTTATGAGATTGTCTAGTGAGGGAACATAAGTAAAGTGCTTTGCCAATCCTAAAAGTCCACATAAACCCTAGCTAGTACTATTAACGTGTGTTAGAGATGGGATGTGAACTCAGTTCTTCTTGACTCTGAGGTTACCTATTGACTAATTACTTTTTCATTCATTTTAGTCAGAAGTTCGTTATCCTTGGCAGAGAAATCAGAGGAAAAATGAAGGTTGAGTAGTTCTGCCTTCTTATCCTCAGCTTTCCTTAGCACCTCATCTCCTTGTCCCTTCTTTATCTTCCTTGTGCCTCCAACATCACTTTAGAAGAGTTTTTTCAAGTGTCCGTGGACTGCCAGGCCTGACTCACTCTAGGCTTTAGTGCTTCTGGGACTATTTATTCCTAGAGGACTGTCCTACGTCCGGACTCTTCAGGTGTCCCTCCTCCACTGCCTGTCCTAGCTTCCGTTCTCTTCTCTTTTTCTATTCTTGCGTCTGTCTGTGGATGCCTAGAACATCTGACTTTGCGATGAGTCTTCTGAGTAGCCCCAGCACTCTTTTCTAGCGGCTTCCTTGGCCTCCTCATCCAAATGATTTCTGATTGTGTTTTCAGAGTTTCCCTTTTAAACACTTACCTCCCTCATGGGCCAATGACCCTTGCAGCACTGGAGGCCTTTAGAGCCGACCCCACTTTCTTCCCAGTCTTTTGGAACCTGCTCCTCCCAAGGTGCTGGGCCATGGCAGGCCGGGCCCAGCCTTGCTGCTTCTCCTTGTTGGTCAGAAACGGGTCCAGAATAGCTGGCCCCTTCATCATTTCTTCCACCTTTTGAAACACATGGTTATCATTACTTTGAGCAAAGAATTTGCCCTCCATCCTGCTTTTGTGAGTGTGTGTGTGTGTGTGTGTGTGTGTGTGTGTGTGTGTGTGTGAGAGAGAGAGAGTGAGAGTGAGAGTTCGAGCGTGCGGGTGTTGCGAGAGTGAGCTGGAGCTCGTGCTCATCAGCTGAAGCCCCCTCCCCCCTCCCCCATCATGCCTCTGGACCAGTTTCATGATTTCCTTCTGTCCAGGCATATTCTCGTATACTCAAACATTATGTCTCCTCTTCCTTCCTGGGCCCATCCTTACCAACATCATCATCATCATCATCATCAACACCATATAGCACTTTAAGGCTTACAAGCACTTTACATACATCATTTCATCCCCACAATAGCCTTGAGAGGAAGGTGCTGTTATAACCCCCATTCTACAGATGAGGAAACTGAGACACCAGAAGGTAAGTGACTTGTCAGGACCATCCAGCCAGGAAGTGGCTGAATCAGGATTCCCACTTGGGTCTTTCCGACATGAAGTCTTAGCTGCCTCCCGTAACTCTACCATTTTCTATGGCCCCTTGTGTTCCTGGATTTTTTCCACCTGAGTATATGTTCTAGAATAGAATGTTCTAGAGAGGCAGAGACTTAGGAGAAACTTCTGGAACTATCAGAGCTGCCCCAGGAGGCCAGGGATGTTGTGGAGAGCGTGATCGTGTTTTCGGGGGGAAGCGGGATGGAAAACTTCTGAGATCCCTTCCAACCCAAGATTCCGTGATCCTGGTGAAGCCTCTCCCTTCATCCCCCCATTTCTTACTACTCTTCCCTCCCCCATACCTTGTATTTACTTAGCTTTGTATATGGTAGATTGTAAGCTCCTTGAGGACAAGAACTGTATCATTCTATCCCTGGCACCTAGCTCAGTGCTTTTTGTATAGTGAGCACGTAATAGAGAGCATACCCCTCTCACTCTAGTACTTGAAGATGGAAGGTAGCTGTCATGCTTCCCCTAGGGCAGGGATAGGGAACCTGCAGCTTCCAGGCCACACGTGGCCCTCTGTCTAGGTCCTCAGGTGCAGCCCTTTGAATCCAAATTCAGTCAAAGGACCCTACTTGAGGACCTAGAGGCCACAGGTTCCCTACCCCTATCTAGGGCTTCCTTTCTCCAGGAAGGCTGAGGGAGTTCTTGGACCAAATAACTCCCTTTCTTCCTGAGTCCCTGCAAGCTGTCCATCAGTGCTGGCTGGGGAGGCCTCCAGAGGATTAGGGAGATCCCCAGAGCTGATCCCTTGATCCTGTTACTGAGGTTAATGCTGATTAAAGGAAACCTGATCCCTAAGAGACAGGGAGAAAGCCAAGCCCCTGCCTTTGGGGGGCCAGTCTCCCACCTCCTGAGGATCAGGCTTGGAGCCGAGAGGGACCCAGGGTCTGAGCAGGACTTGGTAATCATTTCCTCTCCCCTCCTTTTTTTTTTTCCTCCTTCCCTGTAGGCTGTGGGAACAGTGCACTGAGCTATGAGCTTTTGTGTGGGGGCTTCCCCAATGTGGTCAGTGTGGATTACTCTCCAGTGGTGGTGGCCGCTATGCGGGACCGCTATGCCCACGTACCCGTGTTGCGCTGGGAAACAATGGATGCCCGAGCTCTCAGTTTCCCCAATAGCACCTTTGACGTGGTTCTAGAGAAGGGTACCCTGGATGCTGTGCTGGCTGGGGAACGAGACCCCTGGACGGTGTCCCCTGAGGGTATTCAGACTCTGGATGAAGTTCTCAGTGAGGTGAGATCAGGTAGAGGTAGTGAGTGCTGGTCTAACAGGGATTGGGGTAGAGTGGGCAGGGGAATAGAATAAGACCATGAAGGGGAAAAGAACACTGGCTAAGGAACCAGCTTGCCTGGATTCCAGGTTCACCCTCCTGTTGAACAGCTGGGAAACCTTAGGCCAGTCCCTTCCCTTTTCTGGGTCTCAGCGTCCTCATCTGTACAATGGGAAAGTAGGACGTGATGACCTTGGAGGTCCCTCAGCATCCCACGGCAGGAAAAAAAAAAAAGAGGATTGGAGAAAGGTTGAAGCCAAACAGGTCGGCTCTGTGAAAATCAGACCCACAGGGGCCTCATTCGTCCTGATGGCCAGAACAGTTTGGGGCTGGTGAGTGGCTAACTTGGGAGTCAAGCCCATCACCGTCATTCCTTCCACCCAGCTGTTCTTCCCCCAGAGAAACTCTTCGGGGAGAGGCAGGGTAATGGGAAATCGTGAAGGTCAGTGGAGAGAGAAGAGGAAGGAATGGTGAGGGTCCACTGAGCGCTCATCCATCCACCCCTTCCAGGTGAGCCGCGTGCTGACCCCTCAGGGCCGTTTCATCTCCCTGACGGCAGCAGCCCCCCACTTTCGTGTCCGGCACTACGCCCAGCCCGACTACGGTTGGTCTCTTCGCCATGCATCCTACGGCAGCGGCTTCCACTTCCATTTCTACGTCATGCACAAGGGGCGTGAGCTGAGTCCAGCACAGCAAGCCTTGGGGGCCCGGCTGCATGCCCCCCCAAGTCCCCCACCTTCACCGTGCTTCCTTCAGGACTCTGACAAGGAAGACTTCCTCAGTGCCATCGAGCTCTGAGGGCTGATTCTGGTCCAGGGCGACTGTGAGGCCTCCCAAACCGAGCTGTCTCGGGAGCTGAGAATCCTGACTGAATTAGGGTCTGACCAACCCAGGGGGGCCCATCAAGCCATCAGGGGTCTTCCCTGTGGTCTCTCGGGCTTGCCTCTCAGCTTTCTCAAGCTGGGCCACTGCATACCGTATCCCTTCTAGCTCCAGTCAGACTTCTGCATCCTCAGCATGGAAGAAAGCAGAGTGAAGGCCCTGGGGATGGCGACCTGGCTCACAAGTTGTTCCTTAGACTCTGCCCTCTCCAGAGTGACTTAGGGAGCAGAGCTCAGGAGACGTGGAGTCGCCGAAATCTGCTCTTTGGCACCTCCTGGCTGCCGATCCTCAGTGTGCTCATCTGTAAGATGAGGATGGGGATCCTATAGCCCCTACTCCACAGGGTTGTTGTGAGCCTCAAATTAAGATCATGTCTCGAAATCGTTCAGCAAACTTTTAAAGAAAGAACTGGGGATGTCTGTTATTATGAGGTTGGTTGGGAACCTCTGAGTGCTACAGGCTGGAAAGTCAAACCAGTGTTCTCAGGCTGAGATGGCTTGGTGTGACTCACTATGACTCAGACACTGGGGCCTTGAAGGCAGTGGCTTTCAGAGCCTACCAGACCTGGAGGCTGAAAACAGGGTAGGCATTATGGTGAGGCATCCTCCGCACTGACCAAGCAATCCCCCACCCTTTGACCTGCCTGAGCTCTGTAAGGGCAGGTGCCTATCTAAGCTAGAGCCTAGAGCTGGGTTGCCGAAAGCCGGTCAGAGGCAGCAGCCAGGCTATGCACAGGTCTGTGTTTATTCACGAACTCCTGGTACAGTGAAGATGGGGAGGCGGGGGAGACGGGGATGGGGGACATTTACAGTGGTGCATCCTTGGGGCCCCTTTGGCATCCTCCCAGAGGCAGTGCATTCCCCTGGGACAGGGAGAAATGGGGTCCAAAGTGGAAAACAATGGGAACCCTCCTGAGGAGGGGGCGGGGCTTCCAGAACTCATCTAGAGGATCTGGAGAGATTGGCCGTGTGGGTACCGAGGTTAAGGGGCTTAAGCCTTAAGGCTGAGACCATCCGCCAGGCGCGGACTATCTGTGGCCCAGACCAAAGGGGCTCTAGGAGAAGATCCAGTAAACAAAGAGTCGGATATAAAAATACAAATGTGCTAAGGCAGACAGACACCTTAGAAAGAGGCTGCGGATGGGGGACCCGCCAGACGCAGGGGCAGGGCTCCGGAGGGGAAGCTCATGCATGCAAGATGCAGCCAGACGTCCCTGGGGAGGGCGGCACGGAGGGACCCGTGTCCAGCTAGCTGCTTAGCTTGCGAACCGGCTGGAGGGAAGGGGCCGTGCGGGACAGGGCGCAGGGAATGAGCAGCGACAATGACATGTCCGTGGCACCGGGTGCCACGCGTTTCTGTGTCCGTTTCTGTGTGCGGGGTGGGGCCACGGCCCGAGTCCTAAAGTGCATGAGCGGGGCGGGCCGGGGGCCGGGCGCTACAGGGGCTCCTGACCGGGCCGCGCCGCCACCTTGGTGCTGAAGCGGACAGCTCCGGAGCAGCGAGCAGCGGCGGCGGCCCGGGCGGAGCCGCTGGGTCCTGAGGCCCCGGCCCGCTGGGGCTGAGGCTGGGCCGGGAGCCCGGGCCGGGGGCGCCGGCAGCTTCATCGCCGTCCTGCGCTCCGGGCCGTTCCGAGGCGGGAACAGGAGCCCGCGGACCGAGCCGGCGCGTCTACACTCCCGACGGCGGCTTCTCCCCCATTCCCTTCAGCACGTCATCTATCCGGTCATCCTCGATCACCACTGCAGAACAAACGGCACCTCAGTCCCGCGCGGGCTCTGCGGCCTTGGAGCCCTCTTTCCCTCCCTCCCTCTCGGTCTCTGCAGCCACAGACGCTCTCTTCAGCTGCCTGTCAGCCAGTCTGCACCAGCCCCCTCCGCATCCCGCTTCCGACCCAAGGTCCCTAGCATCCCAGGCTGCGCTGTCTTTTCCGACCCGAACGCATCCGACCCTGCTTCTCCCCGCCCCCCCAGCTCGGCTTCCAACCTCCCGGCTCAGCTCGCTGTCCCTCCCATCGCTGCAGCTCTCTAGTTAGGCAAGGCGGGCTCCAGGAGTCCCAGAGAATGGGGGCACCGGGGAGATGGTGAAGGGCGCAGAGCAGCAGCTGCTGCTGCTGCTGGGGGACCCCTTCGCGCGCCCCGCTTCCCTTGCCCAGATCCAGAATCCGAACCCTGAGAGAGCCTGGGGCTGCGGCAGGAGCAGCCCAGCCAGGGGATGGAGTAGGGTTGGATGGGATGGGGAGCCGACTGGTGGGGCGATGAGGGGGGGGGGGCGTCGCTGGAGGCTGGTTTCTGGGTCAGGCGGGTGGGTCCCAGGCCTCCCTACCTCTCTTGGCCCTGCCGATCTGGCCCAGCTTAGGGGGCCGTTTGGCTTGGTTGCCCGCAAAGAAGGAGTTGGTATCCTGGAGGCGGCAGCTGAAGGAGAGATCTGAGCCCTCCGGGTCGGCGCCGAAGCGGCCCATCTTGTCCTCGCTGTAAGGGAGAATTTCCGACATGGTGCAGTCTGGCTGTCAGGAGGACTGAGCGAGGACCACTGTGGGGTGTGTTGCGTGTGTGTCTGTGTGTGTGTGTGTATCTACGTGTGTGTGCGTATGTATGTGCGCGTGTGTGTGCGCGCGCTTCTGTGTGTGTGCGTGTGTGTGTGTGTGTGCGTGTGTGTGTGTGTGCGCGCGCGCAACGCGAAGCTGTGGGGGGGGCGGGGGGAGGGGGCAGGTAGCCTGCCGTCTAGCTGGGAGCAGCGCCTGCTCGCCAGCCCTCCTCCTCTTCCTCCTCCTCCTCCTTCTTCCAGTCCAGAGTGAGTCCGGGGCCGAGGGAGCCCTACATCATAAGGAAAACCGGCGGAAGAATGAAGTCATGAAGTCATGCAGCACCCGGGCCTGCAATGGGCAGGGGGCTACCGTGCCCTCCCCTCGTAGCCCTCAATCTCCCCGGGCCGCTGGGCTATCTGAACCGACTGAGAAGCTGGCGGGCGGGCGGGCAGGCAGGTGGGGGGCACGGCGCGGCGGAGCCCAGGAGGCGGAGGCGGAGGGGGCGGCGTGTGAGCGACTGGAATGACAATGAGAGGCCGGACTGCGGCAGAGCTCGGCGGGGCGGGGCCGGGCCGGATAGGGAAGGCCGGTGACAGTCCTGGGGGGGGTAGAGGGGGAAGCGGAGATAGGGAGATCCGAAGACCGGGATCGCGGAAGCACGGAAAGGGAAAGGACACGGTGAGGCCGGAGCCCCGGATGGTCTAGCCCTGGTACAAGCCCCACAACAGTTGGCTAAGAGGGGTGGGGGTGGGGGGGTCGCCTGGGAGCCGCGTTGACTCCACAGTCACCGCAGCAGCCGCAGCTCGGACCCCGAAACACCTCTGCCCCCTCCCCGCCGGCTGAAGTCCAGACAGAATAACCCTGGCGTGGAGCCTACAGAGAGGGCCTGGCTGGGACGAAGTGGGACGGGGGCGTAATCGGGGTCAGGGCAGGGCTGGGGGCACGCGGCATCCTGATGTTCCTCTTCTCCCTTTGCTGTCTCCCTATCCAGAGTGCTTCCTCTTCTCTTCTCCCCAGGGGCCACGTGGGGGCAAGAAACTGGGAGGGGGAGCGTCTATTAGCTCTTCCCACCTTCGGCGTTGCTGAACTCCAGCCATCCTCTCCTGTCCCTCCGATCCGGGAGGATTCCTCTCAATGGCGGTGCACCAGGACTCACACAGACGCCAAGCCACTGTTTCATTGAGCTAGGGGTGGGGGAGGGGTGGGGAGTGGCGAGGAGCGCGCATCACTAGAGGCGGCTTCCACCCTTCCCTTGCCTCTCCCCCCCACCCCGGCTGTCCCTCCCCCCCCCCCAGCCCTTTCCCCCTAGTCTAAATAGCTGTCACAGTCACCGTCACCGGAACCGCTTACCATGCGTGACACGCAGATGTGCACGTGGGGCTAGGCCTCCGGCTTCCTCTGCCCACCTTTCTCCTCCCTACCAGCGTCACGCCTAGCGTCCCGATGCCTAGGACACGCAGATACACCATGTCCCAGACACAGGTCTGCTGTTACTACAAATGATGAAGACAACCAGAACCCACTTCAGGGAACCTCTAAAGTGCTTCCTCTCTGCAC